GTGTCCCCATGTCCCATCCCCGTGTCCCCGTGTCCCACACGGTGTCCCCGTGTCCCATCCCCGTGTCCCCGTGTCCCACGCGGTGTCCCCGTGTCCCAGAGCTGGTGGTGGCCTCGGGGCCCGGGCAGCCGGCGGCGCGGCCGTACCACTACGTGCTGCGGGACACGGAGCAGCAGGGCCTGAGCCTGCGCCACGGGCACCTGGTGGCCACCAGCCTGCAGGGCGCCAACGCCACCCAGGAAGGTGGGTGACACCGGGGACTGGGGACACTCCGTGGGTGACACTGGGGACAGGGGGACAATCCCTGGGTGGCACCAGGGACATGGGTGACACGCTGTGGGTGACATTCTGGAGGAACAGGGATGACAATCTGTTGTGTCCTCCTGGTGGCCACCAGCCTGCAGGGCGCCAACGCCACCCAGGAAGGTGGGTGACACCGGGGACAGGGGACAATCCCTGGGTGACACCGGGGACAGGGGGACACTCCCTGGGTGACACTGGGGACAGGGGGACAATCCCTGGGTGGCACTGGGGACAGGGGGACAATCCCTGGGTGGCACCGGGGACACGGGTGACAATCCCTGGGTGACACCGGGGACAGGGGGACAATCCATGGGTGACACCGGGGACAGGGGGACACTCCCTGGGTGACACCGGGGACAGGGGACAATCCCTGGGTGACACTGGGGACATGGGTGACACGCTGTGGGTGACAATCTGGAGGAACAGGGATGACAATCTGTGGTGGCCACCAGCCTGCAGGGCGCCAACGCCACCCAGGAAGGTGGGTGACACCGGGAACAGGGGACACTCCCTGGGTGACACCGGGGACAGGGGGACAATCCCTGGGTGACACTGTCCATGGGTGACATCAGGGGAAAGGGGTGACAATCCATGGGTGACACTCCACAGGTGGCACTCAGTGGGTGACACTTCCACGGGTGACACTTCATGGGTGACACTCAATGGGTGCCACTCCATGGGTGGCACTTAATGGGTGACCCTCAATGGGTGACACTCAATGGGTGCCACTCCATGGGTGGGCACTCAATGGATGACCCTCAATGGGTGACACTTCCACGGGTGGCCCTGCCTGGGTGTCCCCGCGGTGTCACCGCCGTGTCCCACAGAGCCCATCAGCGTTGTCCCCAACCGGCACCTGGAGCGCCGGCGCTGTCCCCTCATCGTTGGCATCCGCGGTGGCACCCGGGCGCTGTCCTGCGGCACCGGCCCCGAGCCCCGGCTCAGCCTGGAGGTGACACGGGGTGACATGGGGACACGGGGTGGCACGGGGACGTGGAGGTGACCTGGGGTCAATCCAAGTTGGGTCACTCAAGGTGGGTCAACCAGGATGGATCAGTCCAAGGTGAACAACCCAAGTTGTCCACCTTGGTTTGACCCACCTTGGGTTGTCCACCTTGGGTTGACCCACCTTGGGTTGACCCACCTTGGTTTGTCCACCTTGGTTTGTCCACCTTGGGTTGTCCACCTTGGTTTGACCCACCTTGGGTTGACCCACCTTGGGTTGACCCACCTTGGTTTGTCCACCTTGGTTTGTCCACCTTGGGTTGTCCACCTTGGTTTTACCCACCTTGGTTTGTCCACCTTGGGTTGTCCACCTTGGGTTGTCCCACCTTGGGTTGTCCACCTTGGGTTGTCCACCTTGGTTTGACCCACCTTGGTTTGTCCACCTTGGGTTGTTCACCTTGGTTTGACCCACCTTGGGTTGTCCACCTTGGGTTGTCCCACCTTGGGTTGACCAACTGGAGCTGGATCAACCCAAGATGGGTCAAATCAAAGTGGGGACACCACTGGGGGTGGTGGGGACCCAAAAATGGGTCACCTCCAGGTGGGTGGCCCAAGCTGAGGAGACCCAGAGATGGGTCAGGCCAAGGTGGGTCAGGCCAAGGTGGTCACCTCAACGTTTGTCCATCTAAGGTGGCTCAAACCAAATTGAGTCAACTCAACATGGGCAACCCAAGGTGGGTCAATCACGGTGGGTCAACCCAANGGGTGTCCCCGCGGTGTCACCGCCGTGTCCCACAGAGCCCATCAGCGTTGTCCCCAACCGGCACCTGGAGCGCCGGCGCTGTCCCCTCATCGTTGGCATCCGCGGTGGCACCCGGGCGCTGTCCTGCGGCACCGGCCCCGAGCCCCGGCTCAGCCTGGAGGTGACACGGGGACACGGGGTGACACACGGGACACGGGGTGACATGGGGACACGGGGTGGCACGGGGACATGGAGGTGACCTGGGGTCAATCCAAGTTGGGTCACTCAAGGTGGGTCAACCAGGATGGATCAGTCCAAGGTGAACAACCCAAGTTGTCCACCTTGGTTTGACCCACCTTGGGTTGTCCACCTTGGGTTGACCCACCTTGGGTTGACCCACCTTGGTTTGTCCACCTTGGTTTGTCCACCTTGGGTTGTCCACCTTGGTTTGACCCACCTTGGGTTGACCCACCTTGGGTTGACCCACCTTGGTTTGTCCACCTTGGTTTGTCCACCTTGGGTTGTCCACCTTGGTTTTACCCACCTTGGTTTGTCCACCTTGGGTTGTCCACCTTGGGTTGTCCCACCTTGGGTTGTCCACCTTGGGTTGTCCACCTTGGTTTGACCCACCTTGGTTTGTCCACCTTGGGTTGTTCACCTTGGTTTGACCCACCTTGGGTTGTCCACCTTGGGTTGTCCCACCTTGGGTTGACCAACTGGAGCTGGATCAACCCAAGATGGGTCAAATCAAAGTGGGGACACCACTGGGGGTGGTGGGGACCCAAAAATGGGTCACCTCCAGGTGGGTGGCCCAAGCTGAGGAGACCCAGAGATGGGTCAGGCCAAGGTGGGTCAGGCCAAGGTGGTCACCTCAACGTTTGTCCATCTAAGGTGGCTCAAACCAAATTGGGTCAACTCAACATGGGCAACCCAAGGTGGGTCAATCACGGTGGGTCAACCCAAGGTGGACAACCCAAAGTGGGCTGACCAAAGTGGGTCAGCCCAGGTGTAGAACCCAAGGTGGACATCCCGGGAAGGGTCATCCCAAGGTGTGGTGGGCACCCAGGGCCAGCGCAGCCCGAGGTGGGGCGCCCTGAAGTGGCGTCACCCCGAAACGGAAGCGGGGATTCCCCAGGGTGAGGTCACCTGGGGTGGGGTCACCTGGAGATGGCATCACCTGGGAATGTGGTATCACCTGGGGTGGGGTCACCTGGAGATGGCATCACCTGGGAGTGTGGTATCACCTGGGGTTGGGTCACCTGGAGATGGCATCACCTGGGAGTGTGGTATCACCTGGGGTTGGGTCACCTGGTGCTGTTGTCATCTGGAGATGGGTGTTCCTTGAGGTGGGGTCACCTGGAGATGGGGTGAGTGTGGGTTCCTTGAGGTGGGGTCACCTGGGCATGGGGACACCTGGAAGGGGCTTGGCTGGAGATGGGGTGACCAGGAGATGGGGTCAGTGTGGGTTCCTCGAGTTAGGGTCACCTGGAGATGGGGTCACCTGGAGATGGGGACACCACCAGGCCACGGCTGCTCCTGGTCCTGGTGCCACCACAGGTGCCACCATTTGCCGTCCCTGCCCGGCAGGACGTGGAGCTGCTGGAGCTGTTCTCCAGCGACAAGGACAGGGCCACGCCCTTCACCTTCTACAAGACCTTTGGTGGCTCCACGCACACCTTCGAGGC